AACAAATTTATAGCACAGTAGTTCTCCAGTTGTACCACGCATTATATCCAGTAGTTCTCCAATTGTACCAATTCTCATAAAAYAGTAGTTCTCCAGTGTTACCTAGTGTTACRTTTCTTTTTGACAACAAATTTTGACTCTCGATTYCTTTACATACCTTCCCCTTTGTGTTTCGATTCCGATTCATAGTGTCTTCCTCAGCCCCAGATTCTGTCCCGGTTTCCGCCGCTTCCTCTGATTCCGTAGGATCAACTATAACGCTCCGAGGAACTCTTTGGTTTATCGGAGTTCCATCTTCCGAAACAGAGGCTCTTTTTGTACGGGCCTTCATGACCTAACAAATCGACAAAGAGAAGAATTAGGTTTGGTCRRAGAAGAATTAGGTTTGCTCGGATAACAAATCGAACTCGAAATCGAAAAGAAAGAGAGATTTACAACATACCTTAGAGAAGAATGGATTGGGATAAGAATTGGAAGAATTGCAAGTAGAATTGAAAGAATTGCAAGTAGTTTTTCTGGGTTGTGCGATTTTTAGAGGGAAATCTTGTTTACAGGTTTTGTTTTCAAACGGAATCCAGAAGAGAAGGAGAAAAGTCGCGAGTCGCGATGGCGGATTCGATTTTACAGGGATGGGTCGGGGATGGGTCGGGGATGGGTCGGGTCTCACTGGTTGGGTTCGTAATTTAGTTAAACTTTCATGGTTTTTTAGAGTTTTCGCCCACTTTTGAGTTAAAAAAAATAAAAAAATAAATTGATTTATTTCATGGTTATTTGAAAATTGAGGTCAAGCAGTGGGGTTATTTGAAATTTTGATCCGCTGGGGAAGGAGGGGGTAGGGGGCGGCGGCGGTGAGAGGCCGGAGTAATGGAGGCACGTCGCAAAGGGTGACCGGAAACAAACCAGCGCCGTGTGAATCCTCATACCAGAGCAGATCCCATGAAAGATGAGAGGGAGATTGGCGGAGAGGAGAGTGACTTCTACGAAGTCGTCAGTGTAAGATCTGAGCGAGGAAGTGGCTCTTGCCAACGGTGGATAAAGAGCCGTCGGAGAAAGAAATGGAGGCGAGGGAGCGGTGAGTAAGCAACATGATTGAAACCACAAAGGCAATTGGAGAGACTTTGTGTACTCACGCGCAAGATCTGGTGGATCCGGTGGCATCAAAAGGTTCACCGGCGCCGGTCCAGGCTTCCACGAACGGTGAGCAATGATGAGCCGAACTTGATTTATCATCGCGGTGGAGTGGAGCGGGGAGACAATCATCGGGGGAGGCTCACGCACACATCGTCGCTGGCGAAAGTTAGAGAAATTCGCCGGAAACTCTTATGGGGGGAGAAGCTCATCGTCTTCCTCGGGAAGAGCGCTAGGGAGCGTCAATGATCCCTTGTCGAGCCCACTTTATCCATTTTTATTGTTAATTAGTTAGTCTCTTTATTAAAAAATTTTCATGGCTATATTCTTTATTTTGTAGCCCAATATGTATATTATGCTAATTGACCCTAGAAAAAACATGTCATGTTCTAATGTTATTTTGTTTCTTTTGTAAAAACCCTTTTGAAAGTTGAGATTTTTATTTTTAGACAATGCGTTAATCAAGATTAATAAAAGTAAGCTGTCGTTCGTCGTGAT